TTGCCCTCATCATTTTCAAAACATTTGCTCTCCACTTAAGCTCCACATCAGCTCATTTTTCCCCTCCTTCCCCGCTCCGCCCTCCTTCATGAAACCTTGCTAATTCAAAAATTATTATTGTTATATCTTACACTGTCAGATGTCTCCCTTCACCCCCTTCTCTGTTGTTTGTCCCCCAAGGAGGAGGTTAAATGTAGATCCTGTAATCGGTTCCCCTTTCCACCCCACCCTCCCTCAATGGAATCTTTTTTTTTTTTCCCCCACTATCTGCTAGAGCCTCAAACCCGGAAAGGCAGTGGGCACATTGCAGGTGTTCAATAAAGACATTTACCCTCCAGTTCCTCAATTTCTTTTCAAATCTTACTAATATTAATAATTCTGTCATTTTAAAGTTGTGTCCTTTGTACTCTGAAATTCCGAGCTTCTTAAACTTATAATATATAAACCATGTTCTTGAATATAGATCCAGTTTGAACACAGAATGGAATAATAGCTACATGAGGTTAAACCAAAAAGTATTACTACTAAATCAAAGAAAGTTATTCTGCCCTCTTCCATTTAAATCACATTAAACCAACAGTTTTGCCATCCCCAAGGGATACCAACCAGGTTTCTTTTAAATGTTTGGGAAACAAATGAAAGAAAAAACAAAAAAGCCTGAAGGGGCAAGATGGGACTGGAGGTGAATGGGGAAGGTTTCAAAAAGAAAAAAAAGTTATTTTTGCTACCCTAAAGAATGAACAGGTGCATTGTCATAATTGGTGCAACTTTCCTGGCCCCTTTTGCACCAATGCAGTTCTCAATTTTCTTCTAATTTCTTCATAATAAGCTCCAAGATCATACTGTGGCCTTTGAAAAAATCTACTTAGGTAGTGCATTTGGGACTCCCCAAAAGAGGTACCATAACTTTCCGAGCTGATTCTGTGTCTTTAACTTAACTGGCACATCACATCTTATTGGAAGCCACTGTTGACTGGACTTTATTCTCTGGATCATGTAGGTAAATTAGTATCAAGTTTACTTAAAAGATTGAGGGAAAGGCCAAGTCTTTGAGCTAGCTTTGGGACCCATTGAGCTAATATGTTCAAAATTGAAAAGGTCAAACCACGTGAGAGTCCATCTTCAGTAGCAATTTCATCAATGGTAACTTCAGGATTTTTGTCCACCAGTATCTGGACTTTAGCTTAAGCTTCTTCATTTGTTGAGGTTGATGGTCTCCCCTTCCTTCTCTCATCTTTGAAATCTTCCCAATCTTCCTTAATAGACTTGATTCAAGGGGCCGTACCAATCCCAAATATGTGGACAGCATTTCTCCCCACAGAAGAATTTACTTCAGAGGACAGCACTGAAGCTACAGCTCAGGGAGAGGGACATCTCTGATCAGAGCACGTAGGAGCAAATGAAGGGGGAAGAAGAGAGAATGGAGCACTTCCTGGACCACCAAGCCCTGAGGACAATATTCCCGCTCTGAGCAGCCAATGCACAGAGAAGACCATATGGTTGGCTCTGCTATGAGACAAGACTTCCCTCACTGATCCATAGCCCTACAAGGGACAACAGTGGCGACAGTATGGTAACTGCACCTGATCTGACCCCACCACACCAAGGCAAAACACTAAGGGAGTACAACAGCAGAGCAAGGAAGTTCCCAGGGATACCAAAAATAGACTTTGAGGCCAGGGC